AGTTTGTTTTTCAGAGTCCATCGTCTCTCGTGGTTCGTCTCCCCCTCCGACTTACTCCCCTTCATTCTTCCCCTCCTGCTGTCTTCTTCTTCTTTTTTTTTTTCTTAACATATATTGCATTATTTGTTTCAGAGGTACAGATCTGTGATTCAGCAGTCTTGCACAATTCACAGCGCTCACCCTAGCACCTACCCTCCCCAGTGTCTATCACCCAGCCACCCCCTCCCTCCCACCCCCCACCACTCCAGCAACCCTCAGTTTGTTTCCTGAGACTAAGAATTCCTCATATCACTGAGGTCATAGGATACATGTCTTTCTCTGATTGACTTATTTCACTCAGCATAACACCCTCCAGTTCCATCCACGTCGTTGCAAATGGCAAGATCTCATTCCTTTTGATGGCTGCATAATATTCCATTGTGTATATGTAAGGTCAAAAATTCTAATGTGGCCAGCCAGGTTCTGCGTGTTCTGCCCCGGCCTCCCTCTCCAGCATCACTGCCCACCATGTCCCCTGTAGCTGCTGGGTTCCAGCTTACCAGCCATCCTTCAGTTCCCGGACTTCTGCCTCAGGGCCTCTGTACATGCTGTGCTCTCTGCCAAGGGGAACCTTCTCCTCTCCCCGTCCTCCCCTCCTCCTTCCCTCATTGCCAGTCTGGATCAGGTTATTTACTTCTGTAGAAACGCAGGAGTCTTTTTCCTGCTTCAGGGAACCTATTTTAATTGGAGTTTTGATATGCATTCATTCACTCATCTATGTGGGTACAGGATTGATACCTGTCTTTTCGACCAGACAATAAGATCCTCTCTGCTTCTCTACGCTGTTCTTTCCCCACCAGCTAGCCCAGTGTCTGGCACAAAGCAAATGCCTAATAAATCACTGGTTACATGCTGGATGAGTAAGTAGAGTCCCCCTAACAATCCCCACTGATGACAGAGTCCCTGTAAGATGTGGCTCTTCCCCAAGGTGGCAGGCCTGGGCTCTCTGCCACATGTCAGCTGGAGGGAATGGTATTTTGCTTGACTTTTTCCTCATTTCAGTGGCCAGAATGAATAGTACATGCTGCCTAGACTTCATTCTTTCTCTCTTCTCTCTTTCTGCAGCTAAAACTTGCTTTCACTCTGGATCACGAGACCGGACTGCCTCAAGGATGTCACATCTACGAGTACCGCGACAGCAACAAGTAAGCCACTCGGTGGGAAAGAGCATCCCCTCGCCCTGTCCCACAGCGGGGGGGAGCACCTGTGAGCTCTCTCACAGCGGGATTCTCTGACAAAGGCTTGTCAGGAAGGGAATCACACTTTGGGCGACTCCACTGGGAAATAGCTGACACAAAACTGTTTCTCCTGTAAAATCTCTTTGGCTCCTAAATATAGGACTTGAAGTACTCGTATGGGAGGTATTAGGCGTCTGTTCAGAAGCAAACCTTCCTTTCCAGATTTCCAGTTTCCTCTAGGGGAACCCCCCTCCGCCCCCGCGCCGCCACCGCCGCCACCGCCTGTCTCCGATGCCACACTTGCTGATTTGGTTCACTGTGTGTGACTTTGTCTTATGCTGTCCTGTCTGACTGCCCTTCTGTGAACAGGTTTTGTTGCATTAGTCTACCTTGTGAATTTTATAATTGGGGGACTTCTGGGTACTTACAGGGATTCAAGTTGGTGATCTTATTATTAGGAAGGCGGCACCTGGCAGGCTGTTACAGCAGCTTTTGCCTTCACCACAGACTGCCCCCCCCGTGTGGTTCTGTCTGTGACACAGCGCGTGCCTGCTGATGACAGTGACAGTGATGATGATGGCAGCTACCAGTGAGCCCCTGCTGGACGTCCGCACACCCCTGGGGACGTTACCCTTGTTGTCCTGTGTCATCCGCACAGCACCCTGAAGAGTCTTCTCCGTTGTTATCACGGGTGTATTTGCAGAAGCTGAAGTCTAGGGAATGGACGGAACTTGCTGCAGGTCACTGGCCACAGCCGCGTGAGGAAGAGTCAGCATGATCACATTCGCTCTGAGAAGAGAGTAGATGAACGACAGTTGTGGTCCCGCATCGCTATTTTGGAAACCCCAGTCAGTGACAGGGACAGTCCCAACCTGGACTTGAGGACTAATTGTTTAAATATGCAAGCTATTTAATGGTACCCACTGGAAGGAATCCAATAAGCACATGCCAGTGGAACTGTCTTTGACATTCCAGAAGAGAAACTTGGGTCTTCCTGAAGAACTCCCTCTGGTGCGTGGGGGGGGAATGGGTTACCGGGCGCCTTCCTGACCAAAATCTCCATTCATATCACTTTCAAGGCGTTACTCTTGTTTGTCATTTATCTTTAGAGGATGCCGTAGTAAGCTGTTGTGTACCCTCAGTTCTACTGAAGTAATCATTTAGGAAAGATTGACTAAGCGCCCTTAACACCATCGTTTGTCCTCTTGGATGGCACTGTTTCTAGAGGTTGCAGGGTTTCTAGGCTGTTGTGTCAGAGATACCATCTCGGCGTCTCATGATGCCGAATTCAGCAGAGAAGTAGGGCTGGACTTCTCGGGTCCAGGGACTGGTGGGGACCATTGAGTGAGTCCCTTGGGGGCAGGTGCACGCATCGCTAAGGAGTCAGAGAAATGTCAGCCGTAAGCTGCCTGTCCGTCTCCCTGGGTCGGTGCCTGCTGGCTGGCAGTGGATGGCAGCCCCACGCACGCAGACTGTGGCGGTAGAAACGGAGCTTGCAGCCCAGGGGTGTTGACAGACTCCAATTCTGGCCCGACTCCCTGCTCTTTGGGAAAGAGGTTGGCAGCCTTCTCTTTTGGTGGGAGGGCGACACTGGCCTGCCTTCCTTTGGGTTCACATCTTAGCAGTTCAGAGGTGCAGTGACAACAACTTAGGTAATCTTTGGAGCGGAGAGGAGAAAATAGCCTAGCTCTGTTTCTTGGCCTGATCCCCAACTCCTAGCATATTATCAGAATAAGCAATGTAACACGAGAAGTTAGGGGTTGTGAGTATGGATAAGCTTTGGCCCCCAGAGACATGCAAAGGAAAGCATTTGTATAGGAAACTGAATAGGAGCCACGATCTGGGAAACTATGGCAATCAAACATGTCAGTGACCCCTCTCTGCTTGTCCTGCTAGAGGCAGTCTTGGGGTTCATTATCAATTTGTGGACAAATTTCTTAACCTCTGAGCCTCAGGTTCCTTCATCTGTTAAGAACAGTGGGACTAATGAGACCTTCTGCCATAACTGGGGGAGTGACGGTCCTGGGGATTGGAATGACATGTTAAAGACATCATCACAGCCTAGCACATAAAGTGCCCACAGTAAGTGTGGATTGCCTCTCCTTTCCAAACAGAAAAATTACCTCATGACTTCCATTCTGTTTTCTCAGTGCCTGCAAGGCTGCATCCATGAGCTCTGGCTGCACCTAACGGACCATGAGTAGGGAAGAGGCTGGTGCACATGCCTTCGACAGCCCTTAGCTGTGTGGGATGCTCTCTGTCTAAAGGCCACCTCCTCTGCCCACGTGTGCATTGTGAAGTGAAGTGTGGAGAATCCCATGAACTTGACTGTGACTTTCTGCTCTCCCCTGGGCTCTGCCCTGTGTGTGTTCCTCTGTTCACTTTTAGGGTCATTTCCCCTAGAGTGCCTGAATCCCAGTATTGGTGTAAGAGTGGTGTTCGGGAAATGCGGCTGTTTCGCCCCAGGCCCTAACGAGTCTCTCTTGCCTCAGCCAAGTAACATGAATGCAAGAGCACCAGAGCGAGAAGTTTCCCCATATGAAAGAAATTAGCTTGGATTCTGAAGATTAGTTTGGTACAATTGATTATTGAAACTACTACTTTTACCTGGGTATTTCCCACAATATAATTCATAGTCATTTTAATATTTAGCTCTGCCAAATTCAATCTGTCAGTGAAGAAAGTGTTGTGAATAAGTATTGAGACTGTTGGGACAGTTCTCCCCAGTGGTCTTTCCCTTCAAATGGAGTGGCCCTAAAAATAGGCACCCTGCTTTTATTTTCCCTGGACTCTCTTCTCAGCTTCCTTCCCTGGAAACATCCTGATAACCTCGATTTTTGGCTCCGTGTCATCCTGTTCTCCGTCTGCATGAAGGGGCTCATACTTGCCCCCCGGGCTCCAGGGAGGACAGGCCCTGGGACTTGTCCGTATCTGATATCGGGCCAGGCCTGGACCCTGCCTCCTCTAGCCTGCAGGGCACGGTTCTCAGGTAAACATTCTTAAAACTCCAAGGTCATTAGAAGAAAGAAGCTGCCCTCTTGTGTCTTGTGTCTTGTGTCTCTAGCTAGATTCGTAAAGCTCTCCACTCAAGTTATGCCTTCAGCCTCCCAAAAGCTGGTCCCGTCTGCACCTAAGAGTTGGGAGGCCTCTCCCCACGACACTGACAGGTGCTACCAGTCTCCACCAGGGACCTTCTTTTTTTCTGTTGCAACTGCCTTTAATATGCAATCCAGTGAATCCAGGGCTGACTGAGAGTCATTTCTCAAACTGGGACTTGGAGATCTCTTCACAGGGCAAGGAATAGGCCACAAAGAGCGAATAAGTGATTCATGAGAAGTCAGTGACGCATTCAGTAGGCCCCCGCCCCATACCACATGTTGTGCTAGGCACTGGGGCACAAAAGATGACTTACACCTGCTCCAGGGCCTCAAGTTTGTGTAAAGAGCAGACCTCACCGCAGCCCCGCTGGGGGACTCACGCTTCTCAGTGGGGAGAGTCGAGGGCTGTGGGGACCAGGAAGAGGAAAGTAGCTGCTTCTGACTTCAGAGCAACTGTGTGGACCGTTGTACCCCTCACGGATGGAGAACTTTGTCCATAATGTTCCCTTGTCTCCATCCCCATGACCCTCCTCCCACTGCCCGGGATGGGGAGTTACTTGGCACACTTCTCCCTGTCTCTGGCTCTTTGACCTCCAGCCTGTCCCCTCTGCCGCCTGAGGGAGCTTTGCATGGCTTTTCACTCTCTTTGCTTTTGAGACCTGATTTTTGACTTTGGCATTCTGCAGTTTTACCGCAGTCTAAGGGTAGGTTCATCTTTATTATGTTGCTGGGGACTCAGTGTCGTTCTTCCATTTGGAAATTCTTCTCTGCTGTCTCTGATTCTCTCCAATCTTTCCTAGAACTCCTGTTAGAAACCTGCCATGTTATTCTGTCTTTCTTTACTTTTACTCCATGTCCTTTTCTGCCAGTGATGTATTCCAGCACTTCCTCAAGAACACCTGTGAGTTTACTAATCTTCTTGTAGCTGTTCATAATCAGCTGTTTAATACTCCTTCTGAATGTGAGGGTTTGGGTTTTATTCTTAAGTTTTAGAAGTTCTGTTTGGAGCTTTTTAAAATCAGCCTGTTAATTTTTAGTTTTTGGTTTTTAGTGTCCTAGTTTTTATTATGATTTCTATTCCTTTTATGGTTTCGTTTAGTTTGATTACACGGGTAGCATCTTTCAAAGTGTTCAATTATTTCTGGTTTTAAGGGTACTAGCTCTCCCATGTGTTGGGTCCGTTGCCTTGCTGTCATGGTCGTTCACTTCTTCATGTGGTTCATTCTTTTTTTGTCAGGAGACCATCTTAAGTCGGGATTGTTTTCACCGTGGGAGCTGTGGGTTGAGGATGTGTGTGTTCATCACTTTGGCATTTGCTCTGCCAAGACCCCAGGAGTTCCAGAGGCCTGGCTAGTTTGGTGTGAACCTCTTGGCTCAGGATTCCCAGAACCCGGGTAGTGTGTATTCAGCCTCTATACCCACCCATGCAGTGTGGGCTTGGGGTCTCCTTTCTGCAGAAGAGAAACTTGTGCTCCACACCACATACAGACTCTCCTCTGGGCTGTTAGAAAGGCCTTTCAGTACCTGTTTAAAGACCAACAGCCCTTCCTGGATTCCTGACTCTCGGATCCGTTTCCCTGGCCAGGTCTTCTTCCTCCTGTGGGCATTAAAATCCCAGCACCTGTAACTGTATCAGAGTTTGATAGTCCCAGCTCCACTTGCCAGGATAAAGATTCTGGCTTTGACTTAGTTTCCTCTTTATTTCAGGTAACTGGGAATTCTCCTGTTATTCTCTCATGCTCAGTTTTATATTTAAATGGTTCTTCTCATATATTTCATCCATCATTTCTCTGTGTTTGTGTTGGGAAAGAGGTCCACATCAGTCCAGTCTGCCATCTTGTCAGAACCAGAAGTCTGGATGAACTCTTT